TTATAAATTATAATATTGATAAATACTACGTACATATTATTATTGTCATATTGAACAACATAATATAATTCATACAACAGTCTTGACGTCTAATAGCATGCATTGTGCAAGTTCACTACGTAAACGTACGATTTACGTTCCTAGTCCTTAGTCACTAGTGATTAAACATTGTTTGTGAGACGTGTAAAAAATTGTTTTATGTTATTTTTGTTCCCCGTTGTTTTTTTACATTATGGGTAATAAAAAAAACAAAAAATAAATAAATACCTGCAATAAAAGATTAACTGGCAATGCACTGCTTGCACTTCGCCGTTACAAAAAAATGAACAGGTAAGTTCGTATCTTCCTAGTCATTTAATTTTTAAAAGTATGATTTTTTAGCTTATAATTTTATTATTATTTGGGGGGACGGAGTGGCCGAGTGAATTGCGACGCACACCGACGCTAGTTCAAACCCGGCCGCGGGTGGCATTTTTCTTCGGGAAAATCATGGCGTCCGGAGAAAAGTGCCGCCATCCCCCACCCGGGCATGGCAAATACCTACAACGGGTAAAAAATCTGCCAAACCAAAAACACACGTGTTTTTTTTTGTGTCTGACATCACCTTTCAGGACAGTAAAAGTGCTTGGATTTTCTTCAACAATATATTTTCTGATAAGAAAGTGAATCTAGTTGGTACTTTGGTACCAGTAGTTTTCAAAAGTGCCGTGAAAAACAAAAGAAAAAACGATAATTATTACGTAAAATCTGTTTTCGAGAAAATCGTTTTTGGTTTTTGGTATAACTCTTAAACAAATAAATGTATATACATGAAATTTTCACTGGTTGTTTATATTTGCATTTTCTATATACGATAAAGTTTTCGAAATATTATGATTTGTTTTGAACTGTTTAGGAACAATTTTATTTTCCGTTTTTTTTTTTAGTTTTTTTCTAAAAATATCAATAACATTTTATTTGTTGGTTAAAAAAACTTTAAAATTTAATATAAGGCTCCTAGTATATTGTTTCAAAGGCAGATGAAAAATAATAAAAATCCTTAGTCACAGTTTTTTTTTATAAGCATTTAAAGTTCAAAAATTAACAAAATATGGAAAAATCACGAAAATTAGCAAATTATTTTGAGTTAAGAATTCGTAAAAATTTTTCTTTTTAAATCTAAGGTTTTAAAAAAGGAATACAAGAATCCTCATAAGATTATCTACCTTTATCAAAAAAAAAAATGTCCAAGAAAGTCAAATTAAATTTTTATGAGCGTTTGAAATTCAAATTTTTACAACATTGGATATTCACTCGATTTCTCATGTAGCGATCGCGATTTCCTTATTTTGTTGTAATTCAAAAACGAATAACGAATTTTTTTGTAATTGAAAATTTAAAACAAGATTCAACGTAAGTAGTTATTTCTGTTACCAAAAATCTAAAAAATACTTAATCACAGTTTATTTTTATAGTCATTTTAAGTTCAATTTGGACGAAATTACATAATAAAAAATCTAGAATAACTATTTTAGTTATTTTGTTGTGATTGTATAATATTATTCGTGGCTACTTGAAACTTCTAAAGTACACTATTATATATTTCTGGATCTGGACTATGATAGTATCAGGGTTTGTTGTTGATGTATAACGCATTATAAGTACCGAATGGATATTGTGGTATGATTAATTTGGAATTTATTATAGGTACCTATTTTAGGTAATTTTTTTTAATACCATAGATAAGTCATAAGTATATAGTATGTCTTATACCTAAGATTATCTACCTTTATCAAAAAAAAAAATGTCTATAAGAAAGTCAAATTAAATTTTTATGAGCGTTTGAAATTCAAATTTTTACAACATTGGATATTCCTTGATTTCTTATATAGCGATTTTCTTATTTTGTTGTAATTCAAAAACGACTAACTGTAGATACATGAAAATTTCACTGAATGTTTATATTAGCATTTCCTATACACCATACAATTTTGAAAATATTTGACTCTTTTTGAGCTGTTTACGGACATTTACAGTTTTCAATTTGTTTAGTTTTTTTTTCTATAAATATCAATTAAGTTTTATCTATTGGTCCAAAAAGTGTAAAAATTTAATACAAGGCTCCTGATATATTATTAGTAATAATAACTATCAAACTTCATATTATTATTACTATTGTTATGAAACGGATTTGTATCTCAGTTAACATGTTTTCCTGTGTGGCAAAAAAAACATGCAGATGCATGAACTTACGAGCCCTGATTATTACACTATCAGTTGAAAAACATTAAAAATACATGGGCACAATTTTTTTTTATAACCTTTTAAAGATAGAATTTTGACAAAATTTATCAAATTTAAAATTGAATAATTATTTTGTAATTAAAAATTTATAAAATGTTCAACTTGTATACCTAAGGTCAAAAGTTGTTAAATTCAAAGTTATATTTTTTTGCCATTGATTTTTTACATTATATTTTTAATATTAGTGAGCACAAAAGTAATATTGATGCTTCGTCTACGCCGATACGAGAAAATAGAAAAAACTTGTAAGTTAAAAAAATATAAATTTTTTAAAACTTTTCAACTGAAATTAATTTAAAGTCTTATCTTTAGTGAGAATAGTATAAATGTTTCGACTATATCCACAGCACCAGTACCAGTAACGATAGATGATAGTAACAATTTGTAAGTATTGAAAGAAAATTAACATTTTATAATATGTAGTGAATAATTGCTTTGAATTTTAAAATTAATTTTAGTGAGTATAATAATGTAATTTGTTCGTCACTAACGCCCACGTCAGTAAATAATATGACAACAGAAGAAGATACCAGAGATAGTGTACATTCGTAAGTTGATAATTGATAAGTTTGTACCGCTTTGCTGTAGATACTAAATAGGTGTCTAGAAACTAGAAATGGTCGCTGTAATGGATACCTATGTTAAATTTAAATTCAATGATATAATAAAATCATTGTATACTGTATGTCTATATGATTCTGAGCGAAAACGTCTGTCAGCCTATACTATATAAGTATGTTTTATGATACTATATTGCTATCAAAGTAATTTATTTTAATATAAGTTAATTAGTAATGACTAATGAGTAAATGAGTAGTGTAGTATAGAGATCAGCCCGGTCCCGGGTCAACCCGGACCGGACCGGAAAAACCCGGACCGAATCCGGGTTAGGTCCGGTCTGGGTCAAAATATTTTATATTCTTGGTTTAGGTGTTCGGTTCGGGGCACAGTCATATTATAATGGGTTAGGTTTGGTTTTATGTTTTTTTAATATAACTGGGTATGGTCCAGTCCGGTCTTTTTTATATTATAATGTATGTACTACCTATATAATAATGGATATTTCATTGGTCTGGGTTAATCAATTTATATACTTGGAAAAATGGTATTATTTCGGCCATTCCGCTCGCCATACCCTTATCGGTTATTAAATAATAATAATAATAATAATATTACGTTCCATCAATACAGGAACTTTTTAAAAATAACGTTGTTTCGTGTTTACATCGTCGAATGTCGGAATATAGTACCAGGTCTAATAGGTATTTAGTGGTCACTAGTCACAGTCTAGTACGATGCGTGGATAACACTGTGCCACCAACATAAAGGTAAGCATAATAACCATTTTGAGTACCACTAACTATAAAGTATTAGTTATAAATGTTATAAATTATTAGGAATAATAAATTAAATATTAATTACACACAGAACACATTGATAATGAATAACTTATCAGTTGTCAACCAAAGTTTACGGATTTCTAAAATATTGTGTTATAATAAGTAGTTATAAACTTATAAATTAAGTTTGTATTTGTAACTGTAAAATATAAAATATTGTGTACCTATTCAGTATTGGTATTAATATAGTATTATAATTTATAAATCATATCAAAAAAACTAGAATCTTACTTCTTAATTCTTAGGTGATCAAAATTCAAAAATGAACAATCTTATACAATGAACTATAACCTATAAAGTAATACCTAATATAATTTATATTGTTATATAAATATATACTTCTTAGTTCTTAATTGTTTATAAGATTATAAATTTATAATACTTTGCAGTTTGCAGCATGCACATCTAAAACAAAAGGTTTAACTTTTTTTATTTATTACTTATTAATTTAGGTAGGTACTTATAACTTAATATTGTAAATTGTTTCAGAATTAAATTTTGATTTATATCATAATTTTAAGTGTGAGATTTTGAAAATCTATAGTTTTAATATAGTTTAAGTATTATTATATGATTGTTATCAAAATAATGTAAATTCATTTTTAAGGTAGTACACATTTTTCAAAACAAATAATATAATGAATTTAAATTATGGAGATTATAATCTTTGGAGTTAGTATAATATATTATGAATTTATGACTATTGACTAACTTATGTTCTACTAGTTGCCTTGGCTTGAAAAATACAAAATTAAATAGAGAATTTATAGTAGTATTTAGCTTATTTTTATTTACATTGTAAGAACTAAGAAGTAAGAATAGCCCCAAAACGGTAGACCATAAGTAATAATGGACTGAGCCTAGCTAATGTATGTTATGACTCTTAAATAAGTTGATAAGATATTCCTCAATCTTCAGAATACTAAAAACATTTAAAAATTGTTGAGTAACATTGTTATTTGTTTATATAATTAATATGAATGTTCACTTTTGAGTTGATTGTCAATGTAAAGTTCAAGATATTTTATAGAACAACTTTATTCAAATAAATTTCTTATCTATAACAATATTATATTCAGTATTATCCAAAGTTCAATTATTAAAGTGTAAATAGCAGGAGTTTTCAATATTTAATTGTAATGAGTTATTATCTAACCAATGCTTCACTAAAAATCCTTGATTCGTTTTGCCATAAAGTTTATCTAAGGATTTATCAAACAATTATATTAAAATTGATAATAAAATATTTATAATAAGTAATTAAACTCATAATATTATTATTTTAATTAATTTTCAGTTAAGATTCAATTTTTAAAAATGGAAGATAAGTCTGGATCTAATTCTGAATGTGAAGCAGATATAATTCCTCAAGTTCAAACAAAAATAACTGTAAAAAAAAAAATATTGAGTGGTGAATGTATTTTAATTGACAAAAAAGGTACAAGTGCCGTATGGGAATTATTTAAAAATGTGGTATATAATAATGATGAAAATGTATTCACGGGTTTTGTAGCTTGTATTAAATGTAAGCTACCATTTAAGTACAGTCATAGTAGTGGCACATCAACATTGAGCAGACATAAATGTGTAATTGTTAATACCAAAGACGATGCTCAAACCAGTTTGGATTCTTTTGTGTCTAAAAAATTTAAAACAATTCCTGATAAATTAAAATCGGAATGCATAGAAAAATCAGTTAAGTTTTGTAGTGTGGACATTAGACCATTGTCTATAATAGATGGATCTGGTTTCAAAGAACTTGGACAATTTTTAATAAAAGTTGGTCGTCAATACGGTGATGTAGATATAAATGATTTAATGCCACATCCAACTACTGTGTCAAAAAATACAATAAAAATGGCTGAAAATCATAGAAATACACTTTTTGAAAATATTGTACCGTTTATAAAAGACAATTGCTGTTCTATGACTACGGATATGTGGTCTGATAAATATAAAAAACGACACTACATAACTATTGCCGTTCATTATATTGATATAAATTGGATTTTGCAAAAAAATGTACTACATACTGGTCAATGGCCAATATCAGAGAAAAAAACGGCTGAAAATATTAAGAATTCAATTGGTACTTTTTTAACAAGCTTTGAATGTACAAAGTCTCTGAATGCTAATGAATTAATGAAAAAAATCACATTTGTCACTGACCAAGGACCAAACATGACAAGTTCAAGTGGATTAGGCGCATACAACAGATTAAATTGTTGTGCTCATATGCTTAATACCGTATTAAGACATGTTTTTGATTCTAAGTTTTTAGATGCTGAAGATGAAAACAATAGGAAATTGTTGGAACCCGTTACCAAACTTTTGTCAGGAGCTAAAAGCTTTGTGAAATTCATGAAAACTTCTGGAGAAGTAAATAAATTATCAAAAGGTTTAATTCAAGAAGTGGAAACAAGATGGAACACAAGGTTGGCAATGCTACTATCAATACATGAGCAATGGGATGAAATTCTTAATGAGTATGGTGAAGATTTTTGGCGACTTCAAAATATAGATATTGAATTACTCAAACAAATTACTGAATTTCTCAAACCATTTAAGACTGCTTCTGATGAATTGGAAGGAGATATTTATCCTACTATACACAAAGTTCTTTTATACAAAGTTGTTCTTGAAAAACATATTAACAAGTATTGTAACTTGGAAGAAGATATTTATGATTCATCAGGAGAATTAAATTCAACATCCATAGTCAAAAAACTAGGAATCCACGCTAGAGAAATATTTAATAAAAAATTCATTATAAACAAGACACATGAAATGGCATGTTTTCTTTGATTTTAAAAAACTGAAAATGGTGTCTGACGAGAATGAAAAGAAAAGGATTCTAAACAATATCAAGTTAGAGCTTCTAAAAATGGAAATAGCACAAGCACAAAATGACCAAAATGTAGAGAGTGAATCGATCGAAGATACTGCAGCTCTGAATATATCACAGTTTTCTGAATGGGAAGATGATGCACCAAAACCAAAACAGTCATATGAGCAAGAAATGGATAATTATTTAACATGTTTTGTAGGTAAAAATGTAGATACCGACATACTCAATTTTTGGAAAAGTCAAAATGAGAAATTTCCATTACTCTCTCAGTTAGCTCGCCAAACTCTCTGTATACCAGCATCCAGTGCAAGTAGTGAACGAGTTTTCAGTGTTTCAGGGAGAATAATTGAAGAACGTAGAAGTCGTCTAAAAGGAGAAACAGTCGACTCACTTGTATTTCTACATGACTTCTTTAAAAACATAAAAGTACTAAGTACAAGTAATAAGTAAGAACATATTTTATAATATTATATTTTTTTTTTAAATAAAAATTAATAAAGCCACTAGGAGTTTCTAGTGAGTACTGAGTAGTGAGTAGTGTTTCTTAATTGTTAATTTATAAAATAATATAAACTGTTGGTATTCTTAACTAATTTCATGATTTTTTTATTTAATTCTTAATTCCTTTACCTACTACCTACCTACCAATCAAAAAAAAAAAAAAAATAACTATAAACATGAAATCATATTAATGAAGCTAACAATTCAACGATTAATAATAGTGATTGTACAATTGTAATAGTGTTTAAATTATTTTAAATAGTTATTTACAGGCTCAAGTAGTAATATTTTAACTTTTAAACTATATAATGTGCAATGTGCACTGAGTAGACATTAGACAATATAGGTACACGATACAGCCATAGTGGTAAAATAAATATCACTGCTGGAAGTAATGTGAAAGCATAACTCAACAAGTGTCATAGTTGAACCAAAAAAAAAAGGTAAAAAATAATTATTAAAATATATACTGATGAATACATACCTAATTTATTTATTATTTATGTATATTAAAGGGGTTTAAACCCTTTAGCAAAAATACAAATAATTTTGAGTACAGTCTCAACTTAATTTGATGATTAGGTACTAGGTGGTCAATAATTGAAATTATTTAAGTGACATTTTATTTAGTTTCTAATAAATTTGCTTTATATGGATGATCCGGTTTGGGTACTCAATGAGCATATTTGTCCTGGTCCGGGTTTTTATTAAAAACTTATGATCCCGGGTTGGGCGGGTTGGTTTAAAAAAAAAAAAATAAAATCCGAGCCGGGCTGGTCCGGGCTTATAAAAAGTTTGTAAGCATGGTTCAAAATTGGTTTGGGTTGAAAAATATATTTTCGGGATTGGTCTGATCCGGTTTAACAAATTGTCTTAAATATTTGGTCTGGGCCGATCCGATTTTTATAGGACCGGGCTGTACTCTAGTGTAGTAAACCGACGTTTTTACACAAAAACGGCGTTCCAAAGGTTAGGTGGCCTGAACAACATCACGCCACCAAAATAGGCCACTGAGGCTGCCGCCTCATTGGTTAATACTGATCGACTACGCATCACGCCATTCCTATGACGTCAATCATCCTTTCCTAAATCCCGGGCATGTCTCATATAAATAGGGGCCCTGTTTCACAGACTTTTCAGACATAGAAGTAATTACCAGTGCTTTACAATACTTGTGTGGGTCGCGGACTAGAAACAGCCGCATTGCCGTCCACATCAAGTATAATTTAAATTACAACTATTCTCCGGTAGAATTATTATTCTGTCGACAAATTTCAACTAACTTAAAATTAACTATATTATTAGTTTCGTGTTAATAAACATTATATCTATAATTAACTACATTTTGTGTTAAACTATTCTTACTCTACCTTCACTTCAACCACCATCCTCCGATTCATTGCGACGACGTGTACGTGCATTCGTCGTTAAAGAAGTGTGCAGTAACCAATCAAGTGAGAGCGACGGGTTACTACATAAAATTTGGTGTCAGGTGTGGGGTTTCACTTCATCAAACGAAAACTTTTCGAGTACATCGAAAAAAGTACTTTGAGACCCACCGACGAAACCACGTTCACAACGTCAAGGAGAAGGAGGACCAAAGAACATTCAATTAAGAGCATTCCAAACAAGGTCAGTCCAGGGAGGACAGTAAGAGCATTCAATCAAGGGCAGTCCAGGAAGGACGTTTTCAAAAATCAATTTTTTCACGGGCAATTAAGACTACAGGATGCAAAATTTGTAAGTCATTTGAATAAAATATTGTATGTCTGTAGATAGATCTAATTGGCAAATTGTTGCGTATAATCCCGTTACACTAAGAATTAAAATGGCTAATCAAGATCAACTAAGTTTAGAAGGGGCAATCAAGTTAGTACCTTCATTTTCGGGGGGATCAGAATCGGATTTAGCTTCCTTTTTGGCTAAATGCGAATTCATTTTTAAGAGTATCCCTAATACTTTGAAACCCATTATTTTAGAAGCCATAATAACCCAGCTAAAAGGTAATGCATTCGAGGCCGTTAGGTATAAGGTAATTACCACCTGGGACGAATTAAAAAATGTATTTAAAACCGTTTTTGGTTCGGCACATTCAGTGTCGTACTTACAGGTACAATTAAGTCAGATGCGCCAAAATTCAAAAGAATCTATTAAAGAGTTCTCGATTAGGATCGAAAAAACTGCACACGAATTAACACACGCGTTAACGGTAGATAAAGACCAAGCGCAAGTAAATATTATAGCTCAAACAGTGCAAGCGCATGCACTAAGCGTATTCATAGCGGGAGTCTCACAGTCTATCGGAATTATATTAAAAGCGCGCAATATTCAAATATTCGAAGTAGCAGTTTTACATGCAATGGAGGAGGAAAAATCCACTGAATATTATAATAACGCGTTCGGGAATAATAATTTTCAGAATAATAAAAATAAATTCGATAAAAAAAAGTTCAACGATAAAAGCGCGGTTAAATGCCACCGTTGCGAACGAGTCGGTCATTACGCAAACGAGTGTAGAACTAGCGAACATAAATTACCTACTTTTAGAAATCCGAACAGCGGTCAAAGTCCGAAGACAGAAATTAAACGCGAATATTCTAGTAAATTCTGCAAATATTGTAAAAAAACTAATCACGACATTAGCGAATGTCGGAAATTAAAATATAATGAAAAAAAGAAACTCGAAGAGAAAAATGATAGGAGCGATCAAAATAGATCCATCGAAGAAATACAATCGGGAAGTAACGTACGCGTAATAACGCCTATAACGCGGGAACATATAAAATGTTTTTCCGATAAATTTGTTAAAAGCGAAATCAAATTTCTAATTGACAGCGGTTCCGAAATGAACATTATAAAAATTTCAAGTTTAAAGGGGCATATAATCGTAAACGAAAAAGATAAGAAAAAAATTAAAGGTATTCATGCAAGTCCAGTAGAGACAGTGGGAACAGTAGTGATTCCAATTTATATTAACAAACAACCTTTCGTAGTAAAATTCGACATTGTGCATGATAATTTTCCAATACCCGAAGCAGGTATATTAGGCATATCATTTTTGAAACTAAATAAGGTCGTTTTGGATTGGGATAAAGAAGTATTAATAATCCCAGAAAAAGTAATTAATAACGCACTAATTATTCCGCCGAGGAGTAATTGTGTATTACAAATAAGGGCCGACGAAGAAATCAATTACGAAGCAATAACGATAAAAAAATATGAAATTAATGAAGACGTAATTATAGCTAATAGTATCAGTCCGGTCAAAGGTGATAAAATAATAAGTAATATAATAAATATATCCGAACAACCGTTTATAATCGAACAATTAACCACGAGTAATTTTAAATGGGAACCGTACCACGATAACGTTTTTATTGCTAGCGAAAGCAACAACTACTCTTCGAATAGAATTAAAAGGATCAAAGAAACTATTAATACCGAGCATCTTAATCACGAAGAACGCGATAACATATTAGACCTGTGTAGTCGTTTTTCTGATCTATTTTTTCTCGAGGGCGATCTTTTGAGTGCAACTGACATTGTTACGCATAAAATGAATACACCTAGATGTGTTAAACCGATTAACATACGTCCATATAGGCTACCGCACGCGTATCAGGACGAGATAGAAAAACAAGTAAAAGAAATGAAAGACGCGAATATAATACGTAATTCGTTATCATCATTTAATTTTCCACTAGTGGTATTAAAAAAGAAAAAGGATCTGAACGGTAACCAAAAGTTACGAGTATGTGTAGATTTCCGAAAATTAAACGAGGTTACGGAAAATGAAGCATACGGCTTACCGAACATATTAGAGATACTAGAATCCTTAGGCTCATCTAAGTACTTCTCTACACTTGATCTTGCCAGCGGTTATCATCAAATAATGATTGATAAGGGAGACACCCATAAAACAGCTTTTTCTACAAAATCAGGGCATTATGAATTTTTACGTTTACCATTTGGACTTAGTTCTGCGCCGGCAACTTTTACTCGAGCTATGAAATCTATTTTAATGGGCTTGGAAGAGTTATGTACGGCGTACCTAGATGACATTGTAGTCCACGGGTCAAGTTTAGTAGATCATCAGAATAGGTTAGAGCAGGTGTTTACGCGATTAAGACTACATAAACTGAAATTGCAACCTAGTAAATGTATGTTTCTACGAAAAGAGGTGTTATATTTAGGGCACGTGATCAGCGAAAACGGGGTAACGCCTGATCCAAACAAATTAAGTTGTATTAAAGAATATCCGAGACCACTAAACGAGAAAGACGTAAAGTCATTCTTAGGTCATATATTGAATGACTTTGAAGTCGGTTGTCGAATGACCCATGTGCTATATTAAACATTACTTTTATAGAGTTAATTGTGTTTAAATTAGCAGCTTTTCCCGATCGAAGAGCTTTATTTATTGGTTTATAGGTTCTCTTTTCAAATCCAAAAACAG